TTATTTATATTTATATTACAGCTACTACCAGTACTGGAAAAACAAGAAGACAGTTAAAACCTGGAAGTTTACCCACTCTTCATCTGCCTCAAAAGACTATAATAACACTCAAATTACCTGCAAGGAAACCACCGGTAAGTGTTATATGCATTTCTTTATGTACATTTCCATTAAAATTTTCTTTATCTGATAATAAAGGCCTATATCAAATAAAATATTTGTATCCAAAACAAGGGGGATTGATGTATATGTTCTTATGAGAAACCCCCTTTATTTATTACATTTAATTTCTGTGAAATGGAGTAATGTTTACCCCCCCCCCTCCCCCCAGTAAAAATTTAGTCTTGTCACATTGGCAATAATTGCCATGCAAGAGTGCATCTAGAAAAGCCTCATGGGCGGCAATACTATATACCAGAAAACACCGGAAAACAACCGGAAAACACCATTTTATACTGAATACAGGAAAACACTAAATACCGGAAAACATCCTAAATACCGGAAAACACCCTAAATAGGTAACCCGGAGCCTGGTCCTCTGTGTGCGGTTTTGGACCAAGTGAGCGCCGATGAAGGAAGGTCAAGGTCATTACGATGTTCGTTTTACAAATAGCCGCCCCCCCCCCCCCCAAAAAAAAATAAAATCCGATTTTTTTTTCTCCAAAATTTTTTGACGAAAAAATTTTCTGTCACAAAATACCGGAAAACACCCTAAATAGGTAACCCGGAGCCTGGTCCTCTGTGTGCGGTTTTGGACCAAGTGAGCGCCGATGAAGGAAGGTCAAGGTCATTACGATGTTCGTTTTACAAATAGCCGCCCCCCCCCCCCAAAAAAAATAATTTTGTCACAAAAAAAAAAAATCGAATTTTTCCGAAAAATTGGTTTTACAAAAAAACATTCCGTAGAAAATAATTTTACAGAGAAAAATACTTGGAAAAAATTTGATTTTTTTTTTTGAGAGAAATTTGGGAGAAGAAATTGTTAACAAAAAATCTGAAAAGAAATTTTTCTTTGACCGTTAGGCGATAGCTCGCTTGTATGTTAATGAACTTATTTCATCAGCGCTCACCTGGTCCAAAACCACACACGAGGACCAAAATCCGCATTACTAAATAGCTACCGGAAAACTTAGAAGAGTAAACTGTGCCCGAGATTTTTTTTAGAGAGCGTGCCGCGCCGCGCCGCTCCGGGAGGGATCATCGTCAGGGTGGGACGGGGGTGGAATTGTCCAGTCACGTGACGAACATAGATCTTCCGTTCCTCAACCCATATTATTTCCACAGTCATTGTCATTAATCACAAATTACGGGATGATATACGAAAATGCAGGTTTACTTTGAAAAAGTGAAAATGATACTTTTCCATCTACAATCTTCAGATCAAAGGATGCAAGTTCTTACACAGTGCAGCATAATTTGTGCAACAGAAGACACCTCGAATATCAATTGTCGGAAAAAACATTTTCTCGGGGACATTTTTTTTCCGAATACGCATTCGGTGTAAGTCTTCAGCCACCAGGAAGTGGTTAACATAGTAATGTTTTATTACGATAGTAGTACATAAAACAAATTGGTTGCCTGAGGTTCTCGGGGTGAAAGTAGCCTCATCGGCTAGAGTCCTCTATTTCACAAACAAAAACAACAATTGCTTCCTTGAAAATTTATCGATCAACCCTTTTCACAGACGTCCAGCTTACCACTTCCCGTCAATGCAGTAAGATAGAATATGTAGTTTTCTCATGGACAATTGGGCGAAAGTTGGGGTTTTCTCAAGGAAAACTGGTCAACGAGTTGGGGAAAAAAGCTCGAAAAGTAATCCAGAAAAAAATCCTGTGTGCGGCCCTTGGAATATGTTGAATATTATTATGGTTCAAGTGATTATATTTGACCCTGGAATGAAAGTAAGCTCAGAAACAAGTAGATTTTTAGCCCTTCCAACGAGATGGATAGCTCTTGGAAAGGATAGACACTTTTCAGATTACAGCCTGTCCGAGAATTGCGTGGCATCCATTTCGTTTGGTGATTAGGACACATAGCGGTTAAACCTGGAACTTCAACTCGAACTATTCAGAGATTTATTAACTCGCTTTTGATGATACTTGCTGTTTTATGATGTGATTTTTTGTTATCTAGGGAGGAGTTGGCCTAATCGTGCCTTGCACTTATTCGTACAACCCTGATGCCAGCGTTACTAGTAAGAATCAGGAGACCGGCGCAACCGGCATATAACGGGGCCCTCAGAGGGCTGTGTTTAAACTACTGAAATACTGAAACACTGAAATCTACTGAAAACTAAAATTAAAATACAAAATAAAATATGGTCAATGATGGAGGTGGACTGATTGCGTCTTTTAAAACATTCAAAGCATAATAGGCATCAACAAAATTTTGCAGAAAAAAAAATTGGAAATTTTTTTTAATTTTTTTTTTTTTGGGGGGGGGGGGGCTATTTGTAAAACGAACATCGTAATGACCTTGACCTTCCTTCATCGGCGCTCACTTGGTCCAAAACCGCACACAGAGGACCAGGCTCCGGGTTACCTATTTAGGGTGTTTTCCGGTATTTAGGATGTTTTCCGGTATTTAGTGTTTTTCCGGTGTTTTCCGGTATTCAGTATAAAATGGTGTTTTCCAGTTGTTTTCCGCTGTTTTCCGGTATATAGTATGGCCCCTAATGTGAAATACTAGAAATTGTGAGAATCAGATTCTTGCAATAATTTGACTATACTATTATCTAAATACTGTTTAATTATGAAATTAAGCATGCATCATATGCAAGAGCTGAGTCTGCCTTTACTGGTCTTTCTTTGTGCCTTTAAATGTTATATAAATTATGAATTAAACATTAATTAACTTACCAAGCCCATAACCAACTCTCAATGTCATTTATCTATCTTTTTAAACTATTACACATATAACGAGAAATGTCAGCTCTTAATATAATCTTACATAAGGCACGTTTAAGTTATTTGGCTGTTTAATTAATCGTTTAATTTTGATAGGTTCACTTTTTAAATTATGAAATTGAAATATTCTGAAACATTCTAAGTAACTATTATAATTATCTTTACAGAAATCAAGAATTTCATCTTCTGTATTGTCTCGTGGTAGTTCTACTGGTCCATCTGTCACATTTGATGCATTGAAAGAATTTACTAAATTAAAAATTCCAAATGAATGATGTTGTGATTCATTTGATCCTGATAAGATTATCCTTGTTAGATAAGGAGGCTGTCAAATTGTTGCCAGTGTATATAAATCGATGAGTTTTACAGTGCATCTTAATGATTATCTTATACCAAATATTTTTATAGTTTCAACTAGTTCCATAACATCAATTATTAATTATATAGAAACTCTTCATTTTTGTACCGGAATAACATCTCCTGAACGTCAGTCATATTCTGAACTGCAGTCAGAAACATCTAATTATTTTCGTCATGTCAAGTTATTAATGAATTCAACATCTGAAAGTAGTATCAGTTATGCAAGCTCTGTGCGTTCTAAACAATGTTTAGGAATCTCCATTTAAAATAGTGACTAGAGCTCTTAAAGAATCGCGAAAACAACTAAAGAAAGTTAATAAACAGCTAAAATAAATTAAAAAACAACTTGCCAAGGAATGTATTCCCATTGAAAGAGACATGCACAAATCTCTGTTCAGTATAATGGATAGCAGCTCTGTGACTGAACCTTTCGTAAAACTTTTTTGGAATGAACAGAAAAGCGCCTTTTCTAAGAAAAACAGAGGTCACAGCTGGCACCCAATGATGATCAGACTGGCCATTCTTCTACATTCTTAAAGTCCATCTACCTATGGATCTTTACGAGAGTGTGGAATTTTAATATTTCCAGGAGAATCAACTCTTCGTGATTTTACAAACTTCATTAAACCTCAACCAGGATTTCATCCAGATGTTCTGAAAGAAATAAAGGAAGCAGCTGATCAATTAAAAGAGGAGCAGAGATGGGTTGTCTTGCTTATGGATGAGATGTGCATTAAATCTGATTTGGTTTTTGATAGACAGACAGGAAATGTTATTGGTTTCATTAACAAGTAAGTGATATTAGGTATTAAAGGACAATGCAGCAAAAGGTTAATTTGGCAGTATATTGCTTTCTGCTCAGTCCTTTTGAATAACGAATTAACTCAGATGTGCAGATATGCTTGGATACGTTTCGATACGATCAACATGATTGCTACAACTGACCTCAATGTATGATACGATCTGATAGCATCCCCACAATTACTTCACAAGTAAAACCACGTAGCATGAATTGTGATAGTGGGAACCTACTAGCATAAGCGGTATCAAATGACAAGCAGCTTTCTAAATTCTAAACAGTCTGTGTTAACGGTTTATCCCCTAAGTAATTCAGGAATATATGCCTACCTACCTGAATATGAAGATTTTTAAATCTATCGGTGATATGAAGAAACTGGTATGATCTATAAAGCTATAACGTCACTTCCATTCTTCCGAGTTTGAATAGTTTAACTTATACTTTTTTTCTATTTTATAGTGTTAATCAAGAAGGTAATTTTAAACAGAATGTTGCAACACATTGTTTGGTATTTATGGTTGTTGGTATCAACCGTAGCATCAAATATACCATCGGATGGTTTCCAACTAAAACTGCAACTGCCAGCAATCTTTATCCAATTTTTGGGGAATCTGTAGGACATCTAGAAACTGTTTGCAATCTAAAGGTTAGTAACAAAGCATGATAAATGGTATTAGTCAAAGGTGTTTCGCACCTTCAGCACTTCACCTCCCGTGCACCCCAATCGTTGGTTTCTGAATATGCCCTTGTTACTGTGGATATTGGAAAAGGTTCATTATTAAATTGAGAAGTTGCGGAATTTATGATGGAGAATTGATGGAAATTTTCGATCAGATTGGTGAGTTACGCTGACGGGAAATTTGTTGATGAATCAATATTTAGTTTCTTGTACATCTCGTAAAAAAAATTAAATTGTTATATTTGTTTAGGTAATTGCTCTTATATCTGACAAGACCTCCTCAAATATGAGATTTATATCTCCTCATGGACCAGATGTTCATAAAACAACCAACTTATTTGCTCCTGAAAGAGAAATATATTTCTTTTCTGATGCTCCTCATCTTCTCAAAACTGTAAGAAATAACTTAGCTGCATCTGGTAGTAATCGGAACAGTCGATTATTGTGGGTAAGTCAATTTTCACATAAATTTCCTCTGGACCTAAAAGTTTCCATCTCTCAAGGGGACAATCCATGAAAGACTTAGAGACAACATAAAAATCAGAATAGGTTTAAAGACAAAGTTTATTAATTTTGGCCATTTGAAGTTTACACGTAGTGATAAATCAGTTGGTAGACATATTCTACAATCACTCTTTAAATTTTATTTGCAGAAGAACAACCAAAATCTTTTATGGAAACATGTGGCAGATGTATATGAAAGAGATATGGCTCATGAGTTGAGCAAGGTTACAAAACTTACAATCACATTCATTTAACATCATTTTCTGTTATGAAAGTGAATTTTGTTGCCCAGGTAAATATATATATATTACTAAACTTTTAATGTGAAGATGCCTTCTGATATCCAGTAAAATTTTACTCATCTATGGATCAGAGGCTTTTATGCATTAGGAAATTTGATTGTTCACTATTTGTCAACAAATTGATTTTGTGTTGGGTGTGGGGGCATGATTCATGAGAGGTACTTGAATTTAAATACACTTCATTTTAGTCAAAATAGAAATTGTTATAATACTAATACCATAATTTATTATTCCATCATAAATATTTGCAGGTCTTTAGTCGTTCTGTTGGCAAGGTGATCGAAGAATTTGGTGGAGAAGAGGCCCAGGAAACTGTTAAGTTTATTCTGTTAATTGATCGTTTCTTTGATTGTTTGAATGTAAGATCAAAGTTTGAAGGACAGAGAAAAAGAAAAACAGATCTAATGCCATACGAAAGTATTGATGATCCCAGGTTCAAGGTGAGTTACGTACCAGTATTTATATTCATGTTTTCTAGTAAATGAAGAGAATCAGAAACATTGATTAAGTACTAAACCACCTCAAAATATTAGAACATGTTCGTCATTGGCATTATTAAAAAAAATTTGAAAACATACTTATTCTTTGAGGCTTTTCCACATTAATACATCATTTATTTAATTTATACATAACATGACAATAATGATAAATATATATAGAAAATGACCGATTGGTATTTTATATCATTTCTAGTAAATGAAAATAATTGGAAACATTTGATTAAATACTAGATATACTAGACTGATTTTTATTTTATGTAGTTTCTTATTGATGACTTCTTGGGATAACTAGAAGACTGGAAAAAGCAGGTCAATGATCGAGCAGAATTTAGTAAAATTGAAAAGTCCAAAATGTTCCTAACTCACCAAACCTACAAGGGATTAGTAATTACAGGTATGTATTTTGGATTTTCATCATTGTCAAGCCTATTATTATATTAGAAGTCACAGGTTTTACAGGGTATGTGTCTAGTCAAGTGGGTTAATTAAAGATACATTATGGAATATTATGGAAGAATTGACTATTCTCGCTATAATAGTTAAAACATAGATAACGTAGGTAGAATATGTTTAAAATTTCAATTAAATTGCTCCACTCTGCATGACATATCCAGTGTTTAAAATGTATGTAATTTTAATAAACCCATAAAAGATTTTTACACCAGCTACATGTATATTAAATGTTTTCTTTTTTTTTCTATAGTTAAATCAGTTGTGGAAGCAACGAAGTTTCTCCTTAAGAATGGGGTCAGTTTTGTTTTGACAAATAAATTTTGTCAAGACCCATTCGAAGAACATATTGGCAGACATAGGGCCACGGGAAGGCGAAATGATAACCCAACAGTCTATGAATTTGGGTATGCATATTTATAGTATATTGAAGGGACATACTTGTATATATTGATTTAATTTTAAAAAAAAACTACCATTGAACGCTTTTACGTCCAGTTTTATGAAATAAATTGAATCCATTTTTAAAACAATATTTAAAGGACAATATTGGTGTCAGTCATTATAAAATATGTGATAGAGTTCGTTAAATACATCCCATATATAATTTTAACACAGAGATCATTGCTACGGGAGATGTGTAACAAGCACGTGAAGAAAAGGGAAGTGACGTCAAACATGACAAACACGAGTTGTCCTTCTATATAACTGGCTGAAGTTAAGAGTGATAACAGACAAACGATCGAATTTCATTTCACTAATAATTCCGTTGAAGTTGAAAAGTTATTATATGGGACGGTGAGAGGGTATCTCACAATTCAAAAATAGAATTGGCTGTCACTAGATAAGGGACACGAGAAAAATAGAAAACTCCCGTTTTTATTCATTCTGTTCTTAATAAAAACATGGTAATGCACGGACTTTTTCTAATTTGTTCGTTATCTTTTATCTACTGACAGCCAATTCTTTTTTTTAATTGTCAGATATACTCTCATCGTCTCGTATAACAACTTTTCATCTTCAACTGAATTATCAGTGAAATGAAATTCGATCGTTTGTATGTTATCGCTCGTTACTTCAGCCAGTTATATAGAAGGACAACTCTTGTTTGTCATGTTTGACGTCACTTCCCGTTTCTTCATGTGCTTGTTACACGTCTCCCGTAGCAAAGATCTCTGTGTTAAAGTTATATTTGGAATGTATTTAACCAGTTCTATCACATATGTAATAATGACTGACACCAATATTATCCTTTAAGAGCCACTTGGCTCCCAACTGTCAACCATTTGCATTGGACTATCTGTCAGCCCATCTGCGTGTTAATAATTCTTAACATTCTTAGAGGTGACACTGTTGATTATTCTTTGATCTTTTTTAAATTCTCAGAGGTGACACTGTCGATTATTCTTTGATCTTTTTTAAATTAATGTATGTTGTCTGAAGAAATGTACATTTCATAGATTAGTAAGAATTTTTAATTTAATTTCCAGTTACCAGGAAAATAAACTTCGCCTTCAGCGCTCTCTCTCTCCAACTTCATCCACATGGGAACATCAGGACAAGGAAAGCAGCAATTGATCTTGATGAAACACCTTTGAAAAAGAGAAGACAAACGACCCAGAAATAATTTCTATATGTCTGTCCGTATGCCTGCCTGTCTGTTTTATTGAATTGGTAACTTCACAAAATGAATTATTGCTGATCAAATGTAATTTCTCAAAAGTCAAGATGCTGTTATGTAATAGAGCGAACTCTGTTTGCAGGTTAAGCGGAGCGATAAGCAATTTGATTGGTCGGGACTTTGGAGCTCGATAACTTTGATTCTAATTGAGTGAGAGTGGTGAAACTGCTCGTATAGTTTCATTACATCATTATCTTAACAAGGTTCGATGCTGAGCATTTTCTGCTTAGGCAAAGTTAAGACTTCGATCTGATTGTTCAAGACTTTGGAACACAATGTCTCTCCTTCTAATTGAGGTAGAATGTTCAAATTTGGTGCAGGTGTTTATTAGGCGAATGCCTTGACAGAGTTCGATCATGCGCATTTTCCACTAAGTTCGATGATGAGAATTTTCTGCTTAGGCTTAGTAGCGATAAGCAACTCATTGAAACTGAGTGTATAGTTTCACTACCAGATACTTCAAAACCTTGACCGAGTCTTGATTGATAAAGACTTTGGAATACAACAACTCTCCTTCAAATTGAGGTAGAATTTCAAATTTGGTGTACATTGTAGGTGTTTATTAGGTGAATGCCTTGAAAGTTTGATCATGTATATTCTCCAATAAGTTCGATGATGAGAATTTTCTGCTTAGACTAAGTAGCGATAAGCAACGCGATGAAACTTAGTGTATAGTTTCACTTCCAGGTACTTCAAATCCTTGACTGAGTTCAATCGTGAACATCTTCTGCTTAGACTAAGTATAAATGATTGGTTTGATTGAAAATTTCAGTCAAATTACTTCACACTAAGCCAAGAAATACTCATTTTAAAAACCTTGTTGATTGTCATAGGCTCATAGGCAGATTTAGCTCTTGCATAATGTATGTTTAGTAAATAGTATGTGTCATCTACTTATTTTAAGATGTCGGTGGGGGGCAGCCTCATTATTGGTTTGTTGCCCCTCGCCTTTCGACGAAAGCAGGGGACTATTAAAATGGGTTCGTCTATCTGTCTGTTTGTCCGTCACACATTTTGGGACACAATAACTCTCTTTCTAATTGAACTAGAATGATCAAACTTGGTGTAGGTGTTTATTAGGTCAATGCCTTGATGGAGTTCGATAATGGGCATTTTCTGCTCAGGGTAAGCAGAGTTGATTGGTCGAGACCTTGGAACACAATAACTCATTCTAATTGAGTTAGAATGTTCACACTTGGCGTAGGTGTCAATTAGGTGAATGCATTGATGGAGTTTGAAGATGGGAATTTTCTGCTTAGGGTAAGCAGAGATAAGCAGTTTGACTGTGATGCTTTGGGACACGATAACTTTAGTTTTAATTAAGTGAACGTGAGGACACTTGGTGTATAGCTTTATTATATCAATTCAATACCTTGACTAAGTTCGATAATGAACATTTTTTGCTGAGGGTAAGCAGATTGATAAGCAATTTGATTGGTCTAGACTTTGGAACACCATAACTCTCCTTCTAATTGAGGTAGAATGTTCAAACTTGGCGTAGGTGTCTATTAGGTGAATGTTTAAACTTGATGTAGATGTTCATTAGGTGAATGTCTTGACTGAGTTCAATGATTAACATTTCGAGCTGAAGCCAAGCAGAGCTAATTGATTTCATTTGTCGATGGTTTGGGACAAGATAATCTTGATTCTATCTGATAGAGAGTGATGAAACTTAGTGAAAAAAATAAATAAGCGATTAATATGTGTCATCTATTTATTTTGCAATTTCGGCGGGGGACATCAGCCTCACTGTTGGCTTGTTCTAATAGCTTTATTACATCAATACCTTGACTAAGTTCGATAATGAACATTTTCTGTTGAGGGTAAGCAGAGCCTTTGGAACACAATAACTATCCTTCTAATTGAGGTAGAATGTTCGAAATTGGTGTAGGCTTTATTAATAGCTTTATTACATCAATACCTTGACTAAGTTCGATAATGAACATTTTCTGTTGATGGTAAGCAGAGCCGTTGGAACATAATAACTATCCTTCTAATTGAGGTAGAATGTTCGAAATTGGTGTAGGCTTTCATTAGGTGAATGCCTTGACAGAGTTCGATGATGAACATTGTCTGCTTACGTTAAGCAGATATAAACAATCTGATTGGTTGATGCTTTGGGGCACGATAACTTTGGTTATAATGAAGTGAGAGCAATGAAACTCTGAATATAGATTCATTATATCATTATCTTGACAAAGTTCGATGGTGAGAATTTTCTGGTCAAGACTTTGGAACATAACAACTCTGCTTTTAATTGAAGTAGAATGTTTAAACTTGATGTAGATGTTTATTAGGCGAATGTCTTGACTGAGTTCAATGATTAACATTTCGTGCTGAAGCTAAGCAGAGCTAATCGATTTCATTGGTCGATGCTTTGGGTCGTTCGGATGGGACGAAAAAACCGAGGTCCCGCGTACACATTGGCGTGCACGTAAAAGACCCCTTGGCAGTTAGAATTCGATATAAGAGTAGGCCGTAGCGCCGCTGCCCGGGCAAAATTTCCCTCATAGCACACTGTATGGCGTATGCCCGTCTTCATTAGCCCAGGTTAGGAGCAGAACAGTAGGACGTTAAACCCCATTTCATTTCGATGCTTTGGGACAAGATAATCTTGATTCCATCTGATCGAGCGTGATGAAACTTAGTGTATAGTTTGATTGCTTGATACTTTTGAAAAAAATAAATGTGCGATTAATTAATTAATATGTGTCATCTATTTATTTGGGGATTTCGGCGGGGGACATCAGCCTCACTGTTGATCGAATAGAATACCATTTTTGAATGTATAAAATTTATAGCCGAAAAATCTGCCTTATGTTTTTTGTACTTGCAATTAGCATTGTTCATGCCGAATTTGATGCATAACTAAGACAATTTGACTTTTGTTGTCATCAGCACCCTTTATTATCAGGCTTTTGGGCCAAGTTTGGAACATGGATGGTAAATACAATTTTTTTGGATGATTAGAAATAGTTCATCACCCCAAATAACATAACAAAAATGGACATATCTTATGAACAAAACTTACAGTGCTAGCTTTAAAATGTGCATTTTAGAGTACTCAACGCCCTTAAATTGTATTTATCATGAAAATGAATATTAATTACTGTACAAATGTACAATGTTTAACATTTTCCTAACATGGGGTTTGAATGAAACATCTATTTTGTCATCTTTTTTAAGTTTTTACGTAGCCCTATGTTGATTTTAAATTTTTTACCTTTACATTCTCTCACATGGTGTATCATGCGCTTACATTTGTGATGTGCTCTCAAAGAATCATACATTCTTCTAAACCTTTGTCTGTAAATTGTTCTGTTTGATTGGTAGCGTCAAAGAAATCGCTCTTAATTTAAGTGTTTGTCATGCAACTGACTCTGAAATCTGTCTTTGACAAATTCAAATGTATCTGTTTATTGTGATAGAACAGATCTCTAAACCTAAAAAAAATCTGCAGTTTTCTTTGTAACATATTTATAGTATATTGAAGGGACATACTTGTATATATTGATTTAATTTTAAAAAAAAACTACCATTGAACGCTTTTACGTCCAGTTTTATGAAATAAATTGAATCCATTTTTAAAACAATATTTAAAGGACAATATTGGTGTCAGTCATTATAAAATATGTGATAGAGTTCGTTAAATACATCCCATATATAATTTTAACACAGAGATCATTGCTACGGGAGATGTGTAACAAGCACGTGAAGAAAAGGGAAGTGACGTCAAACATGACAAACACGAGTTGTCCTTCTATATAACTGGCTGAAGTTAAGAGTGATAACAGACAAACGATCGAATTTCATTTCACTAATAATTCCGTTGAAGTTGAAAAGTTATTATATGGGACGGTGAGAGGGTATCTCACAATTCAAAAATAGAATTGGCTGTCACTAGATAAGGGACACGAGAAAAATAGAAAACTCCCGTTTTTATTCATTCTGTTCTTAATAAAAACATGGTAATGCACGGACTTTTTCTAATTTGTTCGTTATCTTTTATCTACTGACAGCCAATTCTTTTTTTTAATTGTCAGATATACTCTCATCGTCTCGTATAACAACTTTTCATCTTCAACTGAATTATCAGTGAAATGAAATTCGATCGTTTGTATGTTATCGCTCGTTACTTCAGCCAGTTATATAGAAGGACAACTCTTGTTTGTCATGTTTGACGTCACTTCCCGTTTCTTCATGTGCTTGTTACACGTCTCCCGTAGCAAAGATCTCTGTGTTAAAGTTATATTTGGAATGTATTTAACCAGTTCTATCACATATGTAATAATGACTGACACCAATATTATCCTTTAAGAGCCACTTGGCTCCCAACTGTCAACCATTTGCATTGGACTATCTGTCAGCCCATCTGCGTGTTAATAATTCTTAACATTCTTAGAGGTGACACTGTTGATTATTCTTTGATCTTTTTTAAATTCTCAGAGGTGACACTGTCGATTATTCTTTGATCTTTTTTAAATTAATGTATGTTGTCTGAAGAAATGTACATTTCATAGATTAGTAAGAATTTTTAATTTAATTTCCAGTTACCAGGAAAATAAACTTCGCCTTCAGCGCTCTCTCTCTCCAACTTCATCCACATGAATGAATGAAACATCTATTTTGTCATCTTTTTTAAGTTTTTACGTAGCCCTATGTTGATTTTAAATTTTTTACCTTTACATTCTCTCACATGGTGTATCATGCGCTTACATTTGTGATGTGCTCTCAAAGAATCATACATTCTTCTAAACCTTTGTCTGTAAATTGTTCTGTTTGATTGGTAGCGTCAAAGAAATCGCTCTTAATTTAAGTGTTTGTCATGCAACTGACTCTGAAATCTGTCTTTGACAAATTCAAATGTATCTGTTTATTGTGATAGAACAGATCTCTAAACCTAAAAAAAATCTGCAGTTTTCTTTGTAACATATGTTAAGCCACCTCTATCAAATAATTTAACTAAATCATGTTGATTATTAAAATCAGTTGAACAATTATCACTTTTCATGCAACTAAATATATCGTGGCGAGTTTAATGATCTGTTTCATTATATTTGTGAAGAAATTTACTAATGACACTTCCAGCAATGTAAATGACAATATTGCTCTCCTCTGAACTCACACCCTGTACATGAGAGTCATTTTCAGTTTGTTTGTCTAAAATATTTTCAATAATTAGTGCATCAAAAAACTTAATACATAGAAGAGTAATAAAATTTCTGTCCAAATTAAAACGTTGAACTAGATCTTCAGATATAACTGGTAAACTGGTATGAAATGTACTCCAGCTTTTTTCCGCACAAGGCTCTTTATATGAAGAACCAGACGAAAGGAAAAGTAATGGATTAAACTTAAAGTGCAAAAAGTCAATTATGGAAGACACTGCAATAGAAAATACAACACAAAAGCATAAATTTACTTGTAAAAAGCTATTTAATGTCCAGTTTATACCAAAAAAAATATATGACACTAAAATAAAAACAAGATAGCCACACAAAGCATGGAAATACACCTACACAGCAGTTTTGTAATGAAAACATTTAGCAATAGACTGTGGCGAAAAAGCAAAATTACGCTAATTAAAGTGCCATGACCTCAGAAAGTAAAATGTGATTATGATCAAATGCAAGTTTGAAAAAGATTCGTCAAAAATTGTGGCCTCTAGTGAGCAGAAAGGGCAACTGCATTATACACTCATACTTATGTGGGGGCCTATAATAATAATTACATGTGTACAATTTATATTTGGCAGGTTACATACATAAGTTAAGTTTTAAAATATATATTAGTATTAAAATAATACATACTAAATGTATAATAAAACAATTTTGAATCAACAGAAATAGTGTAAAATATGAAAGCAATTTGACCCAAAGAGGTCAGTGTACTGCATCAATGTAAACTGTCTAACCATGCTCTTAAAATTATGCCCTGTAATTTTTTGAATAATAAATCAATATTACCTTATCAAGCAAACTGATGTCCATCCAATTAATTACCATTGATATATTTTAAAGAGTTTACGGTATAGATTCTATTGATGTAACTGATAATATTGAGATTATACAGAAGTTTAAAGAGGCATTAGGTAAAGATTAGATATGTAAAAGAGCTGACAGTTTTCACTATATAGTTAAAAATTAATACTGGTAATGAAAACAGAAAATGCTGAAAATTTCAGCCATATCACTTCACTCTGAACCAAGATACTAACGATTCATTTTTCAGCTAGCCTGGATCATCATTACTAACGCCAATTCTATAATTAACAGTCTCGATTATCAATTTTTACGTTAAATTATCCATCACAAAATATATGCAGAGATTCCATATGTGTGAATGAACAGGCATTCAAACAGGATGGTTTTCTGTTCAGTTTCTGAGATATATTAACTACTTAATCTTGAAATCTTTCTCTTTTGATTCATATAAATGTTTCTGATATTGCTTGCATAGACGTTTTAACAGAATGTTGACTGTGTAATTATCTTTAGGAACTCATCATAACCAAGCAAAAATAGAAAAATAAAATGAAAATTAAACATTGGAACTATAAATAAAGGCTAACAAATATTTTGTGAATAAAATTCAAAAAGTATATTACCATCCAATATCTGCACAGAAGCAAATGATGGATTTGTTGATGTTAGGTTACTGGCTATTTTCTGTAACCGAACAGATGATATAGGCCTACAATTTACTACAGCAGTAGGCCTCTAGAAAGGAAATTTAAAATGTTAATTTAATCTTACTATAGGCCCTTTGATAATAAATTAAATAATCATTAAAATAATACTTCGTGGTTTGGGTACAATATAGGGCCTACCTGTTTAGTTTTTTTACTTAGTGGTTTTCCACCATCATCGTAATATGGGACAGACTCCACAAAATCTGAGAAGAATTCCTGTGGCGAAAATAAACAGAAGAAATTTATTATATAGCCTAGTTGCACACGTCAAAAAAAAGCGAGTTAGGCCTATTTTTTTTATATAGAGCCTAGTAAAGTAGTATTATTATGATTATGGCGGTACAGAGATAAATTACGAATTGCACAATATTTACATTATAATTCATTAAAAACTTTATTATATGATATCTGAGACGCCCCGATGTAATTTAGATCAGATATTTTGGTTTTAAAAGCAAATGGTTAATCTTTTCATTCATAACTTTACATCTATCACGCCGTCCAATTCCAAAAAATAACTGGCATCTGCCATTACTTCATGCAGGACTGCATTCTACCGGAAGTCACTTGTGCATCCTCCTCTTTGCGCAGGCGCTGCACAACATAATACAACGTCATAACGCTAAACTCTTCGCGTGGACATTCCGTCTGTGACAATCTCAGTGTTTCTTATCATATCCACATGCCTGGTCCTTTGCGGGGACGTGGAAACTAATCCAGGCCCATCCAACACTAGACAGGGACAGATCAGTAAATCTGGTGAAATAATTTTCCCAGAAAAGGAGGCTGCCAATGATCTTATTGCCATTATACAGTCCCTAAAGAAAGACATTGCAGATTTGAGATCCGAAGTAAAAGACTTAAATATTAAAGAAGAAGTACAGGCAATAAAGAAAATATTAAGGACCTTAAAAGTGAAAGTGTCAGTTTCAATTTGCGCCTCGATAATCAAGAAAATCGAATAAGACAACACAATCTTATTTTCTATGGGTTGAAGGAAAAGGACAGTTTTGAGACAAAAAGTGACTGTGAACAACTCATAAAAGAGGTGTTAACGAATGATTTGAAACTGGATG